CACACAACCTAAGGGTGGCACGCTGACGAGTCGTGCAGGCTTAAACCAATTCTCTCTCTGAGCCTCCCTTTCCTGGTCTGGAAAAGGGAGATACCTACGCCGGGAGTTTTGTGAGGTTTTACTAAGAGAGCCCTGATTTCCAAACCCTCCCCCAATCTTCTGTCACCTAACCACTTTTCCTTCAGGTTAGAGAACAGGAATCCCCAAGAAAAGCAGGGATTAAAGGGCAACCCTCCCAGTGTTTTCAGGCTTTAAGTGGCTTTGCCTGTCATAGCTCTGCCAATACCAGGGCACAGAGCAAAGGATTCCTCGCGACTTCATCACCCTCAGCAGAGAAGGCTGCCCCGCCCTCCAGGCAGTGCCTTTGGTCCCGCAGACATTCCCAGAACACCCTGTCATTCGGGGAAACACGCAGCCCATTGAAACACCCGAATCTCTTCAAGGAAATGAAAAACTCAATGCCTAAGATTTGTTGAACTGTGAGACATACCCTATTTTTGGACCATATGATGCACCTAGGTTTTAGAGGAAAATAGGAAAAAAAAAATTGCAGCAAAAAAATGTGGTAAAATATTCAATAACATAAATAGCATATTTCACCAATGTCAATGTAAACAGAACTCAACAGCAGCATTTACAACCATTATTCCTCCCAAATTTGAGGGGAAAAGAAGTGCATCTTACAGTCTGAAAAATACGGAAATGCCCAAAGGCACACTCACATGATAGAATTATATGTTGAAGAAGAATATTAAATGACATGGGGAGATGTTCATGATAAATTAAGTAATTATTCCTGCAAAACGGTATAGTGGGTCTGTCCAGAAGGTATCCAGCCATGTAACATGAAAAATAGACACATTTATTGAAGAAGATACAAGGTACAAGAAACACTGTACACAGGACAATGACGCCTCAGTCCCCTTCAAAGCAGGCACCTTGGGACCTCACACAGTTCTCCCAGAGTCTCTTCCACTGTTCAAAACACTGTAAATCCTTTGTTGGAATCGCCATCAGCGGCCCCATTGTATTTTCCAAAATCTCATCGATGGTCTAAAATCTCCTCCTTCTCAAAGGTGATTTTAGTTTTAGGAAAAGCCAGAAGTCCCAGGGTGCCAAATCTGGGCTGTAGAGGGGCTGAGTCACCTTGGCCGCCGATCTTTGTTGATTGTGGCCCGTACACGTTCAACATTCTTAGGTGTTCTGCTTGTTGCAGGCCTTCCAGAACGTGGATCATTGTCAACAGATTCCTGACCATTTTTGAAGCATTTGTACCACACTTTTATTTGCTCTGCACTCATTGCATTGTCCCCAAAAGCCTTCTGAATCATCTGAACAGTTTCCTCAGTGGAACGTTCAAGCTTAACACAAAATTTGATGCAGATTCGTTGCTCTACTTGCTCAGTCATTTTGAATGTGATGGCCACACAGTATGCATGCTCACTCAAAGGTGTCTGCTGTCCCCACTGACTAGTACAGTGAAGCCATCATTGTTCATGCACACAGATTCCAGTCCATGCTCCTTGGCTGCCAGGTTACAGAGATGTCACACAAACCATTCTCGTTATTCCAATCTTTTTAAATTAATTGATTTACAGGGGAAAAAAACAGAAAAAAATAAATTTGTTAATAAATTTTGGGTGGTAAGATTATGGGTGTTTTAAATTCTTTCCTAAATCTTATATAATACATATAATATTTGTTAATAAAAGGTTATAATAAGTAAGTATGATATAGTATTTGAGACACAACTCCACAGGACAGAAATTGTGACCACTCTGTTTACCACCACAGAAAAAACCAAGCATTTAAAGGAACATGTTTTTTTTTTAACTAAGCAGACTTTGTAAAAGGGGACATTGCCTCATTTGATTTCCTGCAAGTTCCCTCCTTTTTCAACCTTGTTCCACACACCAAAATTATTTATCTCCCCCTCAGAATTAAGAGTGGAAAAAAAAAAATCAACCTGGCTCTTTTCCTGACCCAGGATGCTCAATGTTGAGATTTAGAGTAGGGAAATTTCATATAATTCAGACTTCCCAGTACTGAAGGTTCCTGAACTTGCCACTGGTCTGTACCCCGTTGGCCACTCACTTCCTGACAGCCACCTCTCTGCACAGCAATGAGCTAACGGGAAATTCCTGCCCTATAACCTCCTCAGAGATCCTGGAAAGGGGAGAGAAGCACAGGGCCCAGAGTTTATTGAGTTCTTAAAGTAAGAGTACTTGTAAGTGTAGTTAAAAAACTCTACATTTAACATTACTGTAATTGTTAAGAATCAATAACATTTACCAAAAGCTTTCCAAGAGCCAGGTATATACTACATTATTTCATTTAATTTTCATGTTGGCCACTTAGTTATTATCCATATTTCACAGATGAAGACAAGCTGAGGTCAAGCAATGTACCTTCAGAGATTGCAAAATTATTTCAAAATTGCCTCCATTGTTCTTCACACTGCTCTGAGATGAGGGTTTCACATTTTAACATGTGAAATTGAAAGGACAGGTGGCTTTCAAATCCCTTCTGTGGGTCTCCACGGCTGATCCACTGGAGCAGTTCAGTTTTGGTTTCAATACAGAGAGCCTGTACTTAGTAGGGCAAGGGAAGCCAAATACGGGCCTATTACGCTAGATTATGAATGGCAGATTTTAATCTGACCCTGAAGCAGGCAGGGTGTGGTGGAAGACTAGATACTAGCAGCAAACAACCAGGTCATGATGCACCTTGGCAACTGTTAAGATATGGACACAGTTCTGTACATATAGGACCAACTAATTCTGCCGTTTGCCCGAGGGAGGGAGGAAAGCCAATGGCTCTGCCTGGGAAGAAGAAGGCAGAACATCTTAGGTACCTGAGTGGATGATGTTTTGATGTTTGGTGGACCAGCTCAACCCCACCCACAAGGGGATTCTGTGTAAACGGCTGTGAAATTATTATGGCCAAGTGTGTATGTTATCATAAAACAGTATTTCTTTCAGGTCCTGAATGAGACAATCTGCTACCTAATCCCTAAAGTGCAGTATGTGTTCATATTGGTTTTTCGATAGACACACATAATAGAAAGTAAAACAGGGCTATAATAAATGACTGCATTTTCATTTCCTGTTTGGATGAAAGTGGAACTTCATCAAGAATTGTTTGAGGTAAAACAGGACCTGAGACACTGAATTATTTTCACAGTATCTATACTGCTTGCTATATCAGAATCAAATTCCTCATGATGGATCTTAATGCAAGTTAGTTTTAAAATTTGTAATCTTGATTTTAAAAAGTTTATTGATTTGGGGCAGGGGCGGGACGGAAAGCAGCAGGAGAGGAAGCGTTTTCCCAGAATTATGAATTAGCAACGTTGGGTCTTTGTCCCAGTTCCACCCCCAACCAGCTAAATAATTCTGAATAAATCTCTTAAACTTCACAGTCCTCACCTGTACAACAAGATTCTACAAGGCAGGTGATGCTTGACATTGTTAATGTTCTATGAGACAAGCTAGCATTCCATGGGTATCCATAGCAACAGTAAAACGAAACCCAATGAGCTGGTGCCCTTAAGTGCAGAGGTAAGTGTCCCTACTTGTCAAATCCTTTAAGACACTTGTGAAAAGCTGTCTTTATCCTCCAGAGTATGGATGGTGGGCACTCTGAGTTAGGGAGCTTTGCACAACTCTGCAGTAGAAAAACTTTCCCCTCACAAATCCCCATCCATCACGGAGAAAGAGAAAGCAAGTGGGTAAGAGTATATAGGCCTTTGAAGTTAGATTCCTGGGAGTCAAGGCTGGAAGGTGCCTCCTCCAATTGCAAGTTCAATTCCAGAGATCACTAGACGGAACTGAATGTACCCCTGCGACCCGTCAGGCATTGGATTGGCGCTCTCCCAGGAGGAAAGTTCTGGCCTTCGAGATCCCACCGGGAATTGTCACGCTCTAACAAGGGTAAGTGAGGTCTACAACTAACCACAAATAGTTACGTCTTAATGAATTCAACACACAGTTTGTCACAGAGTTAAAAATGTGAAAAGAGGATCTTTTCGAGTACATGTTCATCACTCTGAGGACCTGCCCGGGGGTCACAGAGCTCCTGGACAGGCTGAGAACGAAAGAGGAAATCCTCCAAAGAGGACACTCAACACTAAGTAGGACAGCTTCTAGAAATCGCGAAGGGGAATTCCCCATGTGGTCAGGCAAACGTACCATTCCTTATCTTTCTCGCCTACTCAGAAAAAAAGTTCTGACATTTAAGCTTCAAAGCCTTGTGCAGTAGTTCTGGCCTGCTTAGAAGCTTACAGGGCCTCGTGACAGGCTTCGGGTATTTTTATAGTTTTCTCTAGTTCAGTAATCGTGGCCTCCGCATTTATAATTCTCCTCATTGCACTCCATCCTCCCTCTGTTGTATAAGCTTCAATACATCCCATTTGTCCCTTTTCACTCCCAATCAAATCAGTGGCAGGGACCCACCTAAGAGGAATCCCTGTAATACTAAGAGACAGCGCTAATGAGCTACTGCCCAGAAAGCCGGCACTGTAAAGGCTTTTGTTTCAATCACTATTTGAAACTTAAAACCACAAGGAAAGCAGCTTTCCTCCTCGACACTGCCCACCTCCTTCCCCGGGTCGAAGTCTCCCACGAGGAAAAAAGGCATCACCTCATCACTTCCAAGATTCCGCCGACACTTCCCTACCTCGGCAGGCCTTTCCCTTACGACGCGAAACGCTTTTTAGCACCTCGGCCAGTTAAGAGATCCCCAGGCCAGAGGTTTTTCCGTGGCGGGGTCGACTCGCCTGGCGTTATTTTTCCACTTCCCCAGGCCCAAGCCCGCCCACCGGTGTCGAAGCCATCTCTTTACTGGTCCAGAAGTGTGCTCGTCTCCGCAGCGAGCCAATCATAGCCTCACTTTTCACCCCAGGGATTTGGGAAACGGAAAAGACCTCAACCGGTTCCCGGGAGTAAGGCGGGGCCGTAAAAGAGTGACACCTTAATCCTCCAATGGGCAGAGTGCGAGGACCGGCCCCTCTGGCGCCTAGGGTAGAAATGAGCCTTGATGCCGGCGGCAAGGATGAGTCCTAGGCGGCGCTGCCTGCTCAGCGGCTCTGAGGAGCGGGTGCTGCTGGTGGCCTCTCTGCAGGTGAGTGATTTTGTTTTAGAATATTGCTGTTGAGAACGTTTCCATTTTAAAATAATGTAATGGTTTATTTTAGAGTGCGGGAAGGCCGGTTCCTTCACTCCCCCGGTTCAGCCTTTGAATCTGGCGCTCGCTAGTCCGCCCCTCAAGCCAACCCTTAACGTCTGCCCCAGGTCCCTCTCTGCTGTCCCTTTCTCAGAATGAGCCTGCTTGGGAGTCACAGATCTGTCAGCTGACGGGAGAACGAGCCTAGGCAGTGATGTCTTGATGGCGAGAATAAATAGGAACTGGAGGGAGGGATGAACTCACCCTGGACGTCTGGCAGAGCCCCTTCAATGGTAGTGCTCCTGGAAGGAAGCTCAGTGCCTTTTCAGGGCCATGCCACTATATTTATGGCGATGGCAGACCTAGCCTGAAAAGTCTAAGTAAACGGAAGACACCTAAATGTCAAGGAAGGAGAAGGAGGTGAGTATCTGCAACGGTTTCGTGCAGCGCTCAAATCTGGAGCCAAATCACAGGTTCTTAGAACCACTAAAAATATATAAATATATATATATAAAGTAAGTGTATTTCTCCGCCTTTCAAAGGTATAGGGGGGCGCTGCACTACTAGAGAAGGGCAATAGAAATGCATCAGGGAAGCAAAGTTCACAATTAAGTTTTGAAGGATAATGGGTTGTTAGCTAACTTAGGGTAACTCCAGTTCCCCAACCAACTCCCTTCCAAATTATGGAGGGTTTATAGCTTGAGAGTGGTTAACTGACTGAACGCAGACTTTGGAGAGAAAAAAAAAATCAAATACTGTCTTTTACCAGTGGCTAATGAGGTTTTCCAGAAGGAAAGCAGAACACGTGTCAATGCCTCCTTTATTTTAAAACTGGCTCCCCTGAGGCCAGGGTCTAGGTTTTATCCATCTCTGTTTTCTTGTAGCACCCCCACACGCCAGAGATGCTTCTCAAGTTGGTGTGGGCTTGAGAGACGCATAATTCAAACAAACGGTGCAGTGGAAGGAGCTCCTAGTTGCAAGTCAAGACACCTAGGTTTTAGTCTTGCAGCCGTTGCTATTTGTGAGATCTTAAGCAAATCATCTCAACTCTCTGACTCTTAATTTTTTTGCATCTTTAAAAAGTGGGAGTTGCCTTAGATTATTTCTGAGGTCCTGTGCCTGTGTTAAAGATCTGTTGTAAAATGAAGATGATTAGACATTTTCTACCACAAATATTTACATAAACAATCTCACTGCCGCATATTCCGTACTAATCTGTTAGCAAATAAAACTTCCCAGCTGTGAAGATAATACATGTTGTTTTGTGTTCGTATTTAAGCCAAATGGACCATGGGAGAGAATTTGGCCGTTTTACAGACTGACTGTTGTACAGAGGTATAATGTAGTAGAAAATGTCATCTTTTATTCCATCACCCAGAGGCAACCACTGTTCGTGTTTGGGTAGATCTTTTGCTCTCTCTTCCTCTTTTGCTTCCTACTGTTGGTTGAAACTGAGTGGCACCTTTCATTTAAGTTATGACTGATGCATCTAAATCCAGCCCTGCAAATGTTTGAACTGATGGGTTCCTTGAAATCCTCGGAATGAAATCTGGTGTGAGGGGATGTTTATATGGGGAAGTAGGACAACAAGAATTACTTAACCAAAATGTTTCACTGGGACTTGGCCACAGATATGGAAAAAACATACTTTATAAAACGCAGATGAAATGTTAGCCACCTCATTAAAGCATTTGGATTGTAGAATACTGCTTAGCATTTAGTATGCTTCAAGGTCTGTATCTTACCATCAGCTTTACCCTCACCCCCACCAACACACACACACACACACACACACACACACACACCCCTCACTTGATTTCATTCCTCCTTCCACTACCTTATTTAACTCTTTCTCTTTACTCACCTCATCTTACTTTATTCTCAGCTTTTGCTTCTGCCCATGCCATCAGCAAGGTAAGATCGCCTGAGGTCTCTGGTAGTCTTCGTGTGTTAGCTCAAGTCTGTTCCATTCAGCCCAGGATACCTCTCACTTTTTGGTAGAGTGCTTCAGCACCATCTCATTTAGTCTTCCTCATAGCCCCTTGAGGACAGTAATTTCATTATCCTCAGGTTTTGTGGATAAGGATCCTGAAGTCCAGAGAGTTTAAATAACTTGATCAAGGTCACACTGTCAGTAAGGAGCAAAGCTGGGACTGATACCCCGGTTTCTTGACATAAAACTTTTGGGATTTGGTGGAGTTTGTGTACAAAAGCTACTACTCTGGGGAAATAAGTAACCAGTGATCAGAAGGAGGTGTCGTGAGTGGGTGTTGTCCACATTGGTGATGACATGTCAGCTGGAACAGGCAATGTGCCCAGGAAACAGACGTCTCGTGACATATGAGTATGTGTATTTCTTTCCTGGGAATGGAGGTCTGCCTGCTGTGGTTGGTTCTCCTTGTAACAAGTGATTAGTAGTAAATGGAATAGTGGTAGATGGAGAAAGTTGGAGAATGACAGGGTAATAGTGCCTAGAAAACACCTGTAGGTGGTAGCATCTGCTCCTGGTAAAGAGGTGTGTTTATAATGCAAATCTGAATGGAAAAGTTACTATAAAGCTAGGAAGAGTAACAGATGGTGGACCACTAGGTACTTTTAGGTACACTCTTGTTTGAACTTTTAATATTGAGCAGGATTTGGGGGCAATCCTATTTTAAGATTCTAAGGGACGCAGCTCCAGACTTCATTTCCCATAAGAACTGTTCCTTTTTACTTTATCAGAAACATGGTTAACCTCTCTCCCTCTTCTTCTATTTTTTTTTTTCTATATCCTCAAATACATAGCCGGCCTATCTTCTGTAGGGTCAGGGTCCTACTGCAATGGGGTTTGAGTTACACAGTGATGTTTGGACCAGGAAAAACAGGTCTGTGGTAGCATTCAAACAGTTAGTATTGCAGGGTAGGCTTTGGATGATCCACATCAGAGCAATTCTGGCTCTGTATCCCTTACTTTCTGTCACTTCAGCATTATGTCATTGATCACATTTCTTACTCAGTGTTTGGGTCCAGGAAATGGAAAACAAAAGTTTTAGGCTGGTCTTTATCCCGTAATTTTTCCTACCTGTTCATGAGTTGTCATAACAGAATATTAGACATTATTACTTTTCAAATTCCTGAGGCAGGGAGGAAGTAATGTCCTAGGAGCATTAGATTGGAAGACGGGACAAGCCTCAGATATGGTAGGGATGGGGGAGGTGTGTGAAATTACGTGGCTTAGTAAGGGGCAGGAGTAGGAGGCAGCAGCTAGATTGTTATGCTACCTTTGCTGAAACTACCTAGAGACTCTGGAGATAATGTAGAAGTAGCCTCAGTAAATGCAGTGCCTTGCATGTGCACCAGTCATTTATCAACCCACCCTCTCCATCCGCCGTGCCAAAAGGATGCGGATCTTGAAACATAACTTCAATTTTATGGTGGCATTTATGGAAAGAATATCTTTTGCTGTATAACCAATTTAGAATATATATATATGTGTATATATACACACACACAGTGCAAAGGGTATTTGAAAATATAAGTCACTTGCAAAGTATGTTTCCTTTGAATCACCTATTTGTTTCTGTATTGCCAAGGCAATTAATTGCACAGCACCTGTTCTTGAGCAAATATTCATTCATTTGAAGTACGAGGCACCATGACAGTTTATGGAGATGTCCAATAGAAGTAAAGCACATCAAAATGACAGATTATATTCCTGAAGTTGGTTAACAAGATGAATAATTTTTCCCTATAGTTTTTCTTTAACCCCTTATTAAATAATTAAGCAAAGGTAAACTACTCAGACTGATTTAAATGTTCTCAGTATTGTATTCTGTGAGGAATAAAAACAATTATGAATGGGATGCCACTACTCAAGGTGCTTGCCACCCTGGCCAATAATAAAATCGGGTGACTTAATAGTGTTGAGATTATTTTGTGGCAGGACGCTTCCAGCTTCAATACAGTGATGTGATTAGTAGATCAGAGTATGGCATCCTGCTAGGCTAGGTATTGCCAAATTAAGGCCTTCTGGCCCACTACCTGCTTTTGTACATCCCACAAACAATGGTTTTTACATTTTTTAATGGTTGACATAAATCAAAGAAGAACAATATTTCATGTGCATGAACATTATATGAAATTCTAGTTTCACTGTTCATACATAGTTTCATTGGAACACAGCCTCATTTGTTCAGCTGTGTATTGTCTACAGCTGTGTTCAGCTACAGTGGCAGAAGGTGGCACCACACAGCACAAGAAGCCTGAAGAAGTTACTGTTTGCAGCCCTTTCATGAAAGAACGGCTGACACCTGAGCTAAGCTACAGTGTCTTTCACACTCATCTCCATCATATGTCAGCAGCCATTGTCCTGGTGCAGGTCTTCATTCTGTGTTACCGGAATTATCGCAAAAGCCTCACAAGTGTTCATATCCCTGGTTTTTCCCATCTCCAGCTGTATTTGTAAGTGCTGTCAGATTCCCCTAAAATACACATTATTAAACCTTTAATGATGTCCCAGTGTTTACAGAGAACCTACATTCCTTGGCACAAGGCCCCCTCTGAAGTCACTATTCAGTCTTATCTTTCTAGGCTAGCCTCCTCCTACTTCCTCCTTGTACCCTATACTTAGGGTGATCATATAATTTTCCAAATGGGACATTCAAGCGCGAAAGGGGCCCTATAGTAATTATGCTGGGGAAACAGCCCTAAAGCAAGATTGTGGCAAACCAGGACACACGGTAGCCCTACGTATGCTCTGGTCAGTTTGCATGGGCCACCAGTTTTCATAAGCATCTGTTCCCTTGCCTCTACTCACTGTTCCCTTAGGCTAGACTTCCTTTCCCTTTTTCTGTAAATCTAAATCTTAAACATCTTTCCAATCCAGCTTCAGTAGTGCCATGTCCATGAAGCCTTACTCAGAAATAATCTTTCTTTCTCTCTCTCCTTTTTTTTTTTTTTTTACCTCCTTTATGAATGGA